CTGATCTTCCATGCACCGGATACATGGTGGTGGGTGACGCGCAGTGGCAAGAATACGCGAAGGACGGAATAGTTTGGCCAGAGGCAGGGCATAGCGGAGTGATAGTGGAAGGATGGCATCGGGACGACATGAGGAATCCTTTGCGAGGGTCGCAGATGACGCTCAAGGCACACTGGACGAAGTACTCTGTTGAGCCATCGGACATGAGCAGCATACATGGGCTAGAATTTCCACAAGGAGGGATGCCGGAATGGCTATACGACTCGCTTAGATTGGCGGCTGTGCGAGGTAGAAGAATCGGAATAGCGATAGACATGAGGATGTTCACACTAATCGGAGGCGACGTGGTGGTAACAAGAAGTGGGCGCTTCATGCTCCTCGGGCCAGTACCAATGGCATGTTGGAAAGCAGTTTGGTTCGAGGACACCTACACGGCTCTGTACATGCGTGATTGCGAGCTGGACATGTTAGCCGATGACAGAGGAGACCCACAAGTGAACAGGGATAGACTATCAACGACATTGGGGACAGATGAATACCGGGAGAGAGTGAGATGGATAATGGCGGAAATGACGGAGGAGTGCGTGCATTGCCTGGCATGCCACTGTAGAATGGCGAAAGGGATAGTGATCTGCCCGATGTGTTGCAAGCCTATGCCATCCTACCCGGACTACCTGATGGGGATGAATTTGTGGGAAATCACGGATAGAAAGGCGACTATGGGAAGAAAGACGATGTGGAAGACCAAGCTACAGGAAGCCCTCGACCGCGCAGGGATTAAAGTCCCGTTCAGAATGGTGGCCGAAAGGATAGACATGATAGAACGGGACGTGGTGGCAGGGATACTGGCGAGCTTGAACCCCGCAGAAGACTGGTACTTAGGTTTTAGGGCTGGATTGTGGCCTGAGTACGAGATCGCAGCGTCACGACCGGGGGTATACAGGTTCGCTATGGAAGAGGCGGCGATTCATGCGATGATGTTGGATAGAGAGCTGGCAACATCGTTCGGGAAGATTCTGAACTTTGAGTACAATCAGAGTGGCACAGATCACTCGGGAATAGTGGATGCGCCAGATTTCCAGCAAGCCCTTGAGACGGTTGCGGCACGCGCTGTAGTGACAGCGAGGCAGAGGTTCTTCTCCATGCATGCAGGGTGTCTGAGGAGAGGAGGGCAGTTTATGAGTTATCAGTTGCTGATAGCTATGGCCGCAGGTTTTAACTCGCCGTTATGGGGGAACAACGCTTGGGCGAAAAGCACGAGGGACATGATGGTGCAGACTGCAAATAGTTGCCTGGAGATCATGGAGAGGATAGTTGCAGAAACAAAGCGAGATCCCACTCAACCCATGGCGAAGCACATGAAGTTTGACACCGAAGGGATACCATTCAACGCGACATGGGGAGAGATTAAGGGGAAGAAGAACAAGCTTCATGGATATAGCCATGCTGCTGGATCTGCTATTCGGAACCTAGGGCTACGAAGAGAGAGGTCGGAGACTGGGCCGGTGAATGAGGTATACTGGTGCTCAGTACCGATGGGAGGAATGATGATGAACTGGGCTTCGATGGGAGTAGCCGGACATTCTCGTGACGAGGCGCAGCCGGAGGCGCGTGCGGCTAATGCGGGCACGGCATATCCAATTGCCGGGGTAAGCCTAGTGGAGCTGAACGAGAAGGGGTGGCCAAAAAGGATAGAATCGAAAGGTACGAGAACCGTCGATGTGGAGCTTAGGGACGAGACGGGGAAGAGACAAGAGCCACTGACCAGGGCAGAAAGTTCGAGTCCAATCCAACTGAAAGAGAGAGGTGGGGCGAGAGCCGATGGTGCTGAGCCCAAAGCGAGGACCCGATCACCTCTGGATAGGGAGAGAAGGGATATCATCAGGTGGCCGAAGTACGCCATGAGTGATGATAGTTCGGTGAGAAGCTCATCACTCGGTTGGGGAAAAGGGCGGGATAGAGATAGAGCCGATGATCGAGGAGGCAGATACGGATGGATGCCAACTGTACCCAGGTTCGCGGAAGGGACGAAGATGGCGGATAGAGGAAGAGGAAAGGGCTCTCTGCTAGAGAGAACTCGGGCACAAAGAGGTGGCCACGTCACTGGTCCCGAAACAGAAGACGAGTCAGCGATGAGCGAAGCGCTCAACCCGGAATTCAGAGGCACTGAGACGACATCAACCAACCGGGCAAACATGGGCGTTGAGACAGGTGACGATGCAAGTGATGCATCTGCGGGTGATCCTGTGAAAGGAAAGGGAAAGCATGGAAGGCCGCTGATGTGGAGACCGCGACGTGATCGCCAATGAGATGAAGCATGATGAAATGGCGACGAGCGGGGATAGGACGAAAGCACAAAGCTGCCTAGTCACCAATGGCTCGGCGTGAGGGATAGAATGGGACATGCAAAGTCATGTGCCCGGGCCATGGCTGGTGGCGCACGCGGGGGGATAGAGCGGATGGATGGCGCAGGATGAGATGAGTGGGTGAACGGCTGTCGTGAGACTCTGGTGCAGGGCTTGGCTAGCCACCAATAAGACCCTGCGGCGGAAGCTTCTGGGAAGGCCTGGCTCGCCACCAATAAGACCTTCACATGAGGAGATCAGAAAACAAAGTCGAGAAGAGGAGAAAAGAACAGAATGGGCATGGCTAATCACCAGTGAGTCCCCACGGAGAAGATCGCATACAAGAGTGAAGGGATAGAAGCGTGGGAACTACATTGACATCGAGGAGTACTGATCAAGAGTGAGGCCTTACCCAGGATAGCTATGGAGAAGATGAACTGAGCCGGGTGATGAAATGGATAGAAGCGACGCTTGATTTTCCAAGAATGCGACGGATAGACAATTTTACTACGTGGAATAGACGTGAGGGCACGAAGTGTAGCCAAGAGCCACGGACTGGTGGTTTGTGCTACTGCGATGAATGTCGAGGTTAGCGGATGGCGGTGTTGCTTCCGAGGATAGCTGGAGTGATCGCCGTAATCGCGGGTGGTGGTGGGCGCCCTAAAGGGGCTGGCGATCAGGTCGGCTATGCCTCCTGCGTTCTTGTTTTGCCTGAAGCTAACCGGGATAGAAGTCGCGAATTCATCGATTTTCTGACCGCTGAGTGCGTCCCGAAAACGGGGGGTGTTTAGCACAAAGAGGTCAGGTCAATTCCATGGGGTGCTGTTTAGATGTACATGTAACTTTTGGGTTTGGGCCTGGGATAGAAGCCGACTTCTTCGTGGACAAGCCGGAATAGAGGACGAGACTTTGTGTCCGTTCGCAACTGTAAGCTGCTCAAGAAGGGCCCTTCTAGTATTGTAGCAGCCGAACTTGTACAGTTTTCGCCCCCGTGGATAGTATTCCTGTACGTCGTGGACTTGATTGGCCAACTCGCATCCGGAGGAAAGAGGAGCCAAAAGGGTCGGGCGTTGACGAGGAATAGATCCTTTTCCCTAACCTCGGGATAGTTATCTGTTCTCTTTACAACTCATAGCCGGAGGCCGGAGGATACTGAGGGCAGGTGGCTGTTCAGGTGAATATCGGGATAGGTGTACAACACGCAGCCGGACGGCTAGTGGATACATCTAGAGCGATAGGTTACCACCCCCTGGAGATAGCAACTCTGGGGATCCTTCCGATAGTTAACGTCGGGAGTGGCTTGGAATACTTGGCTAGCTACCTCGTGTTCCCCGTTGACAGGGATACTGTTACTTCTGGTGCAACATTACAACCTACAACTGTAAATATACAACTTCTTTCTCCTCGTGTGGCCTGAGCTAGTTACTGGAGCGGGTTGCGCAAGTTTTCATTGGTTTGGACACTTCGCACAGGACTCTCCCCACCAGGATCGTCAATGGTTTAAGTCATGAATCCCGGCTTTTCTTTCACCCCAACCCCTCCTTCCCCCCCTTTCCCCGCCTCACAGCTTCCACCCAGGCACTTCTGCGCCTGCGAGCCGTGTGTCAAGCGCTGCTTGGCGCCCTCGCGGCGGGTCTGCCCCATCTGCCGCAAGCCTGCTCGGCGCCACTTGGGCTTCCGCTCGCAAGGCCTATGTGGGTTTTAACGGATGTTCTTTTGGGGGTTTTGGTGTTAGAAGTTGGAGGGGGGAGCTGGGTTAAGTTAGTTGCTGCAGGTTTGCAAGTTCGAGGCCCGATTCAAAGCCTAGACCCCCCCTAGATAAACCCTGAAAATCCTGAAGCACAAGCCTGAAAGCCTGAATCCTTCGGCCCCAGGACTCCTCTCAAACCTCTAAAGCTGCATAAACCCTAAACCTGGCCCTAAGCCCTGAAAAATCTAGAGCCCTAAACCCTAAACACAAAAAACAACTATATCCTAAACCCTAAACCCTAAACCCGAAAGCCCCAAACAACCCAGGCTCGCAGCGCATCTTCGCGTAGAGTGCGGGGATGCTGGGCCGCGCTTTGAAGCGCCCGTGGCCGTGCCCTTGGGGAGGTTTGGTGTGTAGGGTTTGTAGGGGTTCGAGGTTTAGGGCTTAGGATGTGGGTCTTCGAGTTCTGGGTTGTGTAGGCTGAGGGCTTGAAGCTCAGGGTGTAAGGTGTAAGTTTGGAGTTGAGGACGCAGTATGTACCACGTGCCAAGTTTCCAGGGCACGCCCATGGGCGCCCATTTCGCACGGTGCCAATCCTTGAGGCAGAACCCGAGAACCTCAACATCGCCCTAAATCCTTCCAAGTTCCCTATACCAGTTCTTTCAACATCAGGGACCTCACTTGACGCCCGAGCTCCCCAGAATGTCTCAAGCTCCCCGTGCCCTCCACGCGCAGCAAAGCACGCGCCTCCGTGCCGGCTTTTAATGGCCGCCAAAGCCCATTGCAGCCAGCTCGAACAAAAGGGTTCGCTTCCTTCCAGAGATGGATGTCAATTGCTTCTTCTCAAGCCCATTGTAAGTAATCAGGAGCTGCGACAGAGGATCCAATACTGGACCCCCGGCTCAACCCCAACCCTAAACCTTACATCCCTGAAGCTCAACCCCAAACGCCTGAAAGCCCCGAACATGAAACCCGGTGGAAGCGTACTCGGCGTACTCACTCCCCTGCCCGAGACAGACCAGCCACGTGCCGTGAGCTCAGTGCCAGGAGCTCGACCGAGCTTTGTCAGAACTGTCGCAGCGAGAGACCGAGGCCACTGGCGAGGGACTGGCAGTTCTCTTGACGGTTTCCGGTAGTGGGGTATAATTTTTTTTTTTTTTGGGGGGGGGTTCCGAAAGGCCCCAAGTTCTAAAGCTGTGCGTGTTCACAGGAATGAAGCGCAAAACCCACAAGCAAACCCACGATCCCAAACCAGTGCGCTGCAGAATAGAAGGCCCTTTCCCCCTAAACTCCAAACCTTAAACAAACCGTACGCCGTAAACCCTAAACCCCAAACACTCCCAGGCGCAAGAAGCCCACCAAGAGAGCAAGCAGGCCGCTTACTGCAGGGATCGGAGTTTTTCAGCGGGTTTGGGATTTTGGGCTTAGGGTTTTACAAGGCGATTCCGCATTTCAGCAAGGGGAGTTCTGGAAAAGGGGAGTTTCTGGAAGCTGCTTGACTGCAGGCGTCTGACGAGGTGAAGCGCTTGCAGACGCTTGCCTGCATGTACTGTTCGAGCTCCACCAACGACGCAGGGTTTAGGAGTTTGCTGCTGGATAAGTTCCTCGGCCTCAAGCCCTGTACCCTGAACCAAGTCTTCCTGAAGGAAGACAAACGCCACCCTCGAGCAGTCGCAGGAGCGGGGACCAGGGAGTTGGTGACACGGAGCTCCTTTGCAAGATGGGTAAGGTTGGAGCAACTCTCCAAGGGCCAGAAGTACAGGGCTGGGCCGCCTTGTGTGTAGACCAGGTAGAACTTACAGGGCAGGAGCGACTGCTCGCGAAACCACGCCTTGCCTCGTTTTTGAAGCCAAGCGTTGTCGGCACGCCGCCGACGGCAGGAGAAGCTCAAAAAGCAGTTCGCCAACCTGGAGACCAAGGCGCGATCTCATGGCTCGAATGAAAGGTCTGGCCTTGCTGCACTGTATCCGAAGGCTTCAGGGCTCTGCAGCCCTGTGCCCCCAAAAGATCCCATGGGCTCAGAGCCCTCATCCCATCAGCCCGGGCCCCAAGCCTACCAAAGCCCTGCACCTCAAACAACTTTTTCAAAATCTCAGAACAAAAGTGCTGGGAGGCCAGAGACCTGGAGGTGGAGCGCTCCGAGCTGACCAAGGAGCCACAGGGTTGTCTTAAGGATGCTTTCGGTTTTTTGCGGCGTTTTGGGCGTGGGGGTTGCCTTTCAAGGGTGTTTGGGTATGGGGTTGTCTTTCTAGCCCCCGGAAACCAGGAGCGGGACCAGCTGGACCTGAAGCTTCGCAAGTCCGAGGCGGAGTGTAGCAACAAGGACGGGGAGGGGGGGCAGGGGGGGGGGCCTAAACTCGAAGCTGCAGCTGCGGCCCCCTGAAGGCTGCCTTCAGACGCTTCAATTGAGGCGTACTTTGCGGCGGAGGGGTGACCCTAAACCTTGACCCTAAACCCTAAACCCTAAACCCTAAACCCGAAACCCGAAACCCCAAACCCTAAACCCTAAACCCTAAAGCCGAAGCCCTAAACCCGAGCCCTTGCAGGAGGCGCGCTTGAATCGACTGATGGAGGAGAGTGAGAAGCTAAAGGCTGCTGCCTGTTGGGGGTTCAGGGTTTGGGAGTTCAGGATTTAGGGGGCTTTAGAGGGATTTCAAAACCCTCAAAACCCCTCAAAGGTCCTCTAAACCCCTCTAAGCTTCCGAGGCGTTAGGGGCTCAGTTTAGGGAAGAATGGAACCTTGATGGAGGGGGCATACTGGTCACTTGTGACCACCTCAACTGGGTCACTTGTGCCCGCGCCCTCACGGGTCACTTGTACGCGCGCACTGTCACGGTCTCGTCCGCTTGTAGGGGTTTTGGGCTGTCACGGTCTCGTTCGCTTCTCTAGAGGTTTTGGGCTGTCACGGTCTCGTCCGCTTCTAGGGGTTTTGGGCTGTCACGGTCTCGTTCGCTTCTCTAGGGGTTTTGGGCTGTCACGGTCTCGTCCGCTTCTTAGTGGTTTTGGGCTGTCACGGTCTCGTCCGCTTCTTAGTGGTTTTGGGCTGCCACCGTCTCGTCCGCTTGTGGTGGTTTGGGGCTGTCACGGTCTCGTCCGCTTCTAGGGGTTTTGGGCTGTCACGGTCTCGCCCGCTTCTAGGGGTTTTCGGCTGTCACGGTCTCGTTCGCTTCTCTAGGGGTTTTGGGCTGTCACGGTCTCGTCCGCTTCTAGTGGTTTTGGGCGGTCACGGTCTCGTCCGCTTCTAGGGGTTTTGGGCTGTCACGGTCTCGTTCGCTTCTCTAGGGGTTTTGGGCTGTCACGGTCTCGTCCGCTTCTAGTGGTTTTGGGCTGTCACGGTCTCGTCCGCTTCTAGGGGTTTTGGGCTGTCACGGTCTCGTTCGCTTCTCTAGGGGTTTTGGGCTGTCACGGTCTCGTCCGCTTCTAGTGGTTTTGGGCTGTCACGGTCTCGTCTGCTTCTAGGGGTTTTGGGCTGTCACGGTCTCGTTCGCTTCTCTAGGTTTTGTGGGCTGTCACGGTCTCGTCCGCTTCTAGGGGTTTTGGGCTGTCACGGTCTCGTTCGCTTCTCTAGGGGTTTTGGGCTGTCACGGTCTCGTCCGCTTCTAGTGGTTGGGGCTGTCACGGTCTCGTCCGCTTGTAGGGGTTTTGGGCTGTCACGGTCTCGTTCGCTTCTCTAGAGGTTTTGGGCTGTCACGGTCTCGTCCGCTTCTAGGGGTTTTGGGCTGTCACGGTCTCGTTCGCTTCTCTAGGGGTTTTGGGCTGTCACGGTCTCGTCCGCTTCTTAGTGGTTTTGGGCTGTCACGGTCTCGTCCGCTTCTTAGTGGTTTGGGCTGCCACCGTCTCGTCCGCTTGTGGTGGTTTGGGGCTGTCACGGTCTCGTCCGCTTCGGCTTTGGGCTGTCACGGTCTCGCCCGCTTCTAGGAGTTTTGCCGCTTCTAGGGATTTTGGCTTGCCACGAAGCAACCCCGCACCGGCGTAGACCGCACGTTTGGGGTGGGCCCCCCCCCCCCCCCCCCCCCCAGCCCACCCCCACCCCCCTCGTCATTTAACCGCCCCCATTTCCCCCCCCCCCCCCTCCCACCACCAATGATACAAGTGACTGATGACGTGGGGCGCAAGTGACCCGAAATAACGTGGGCACGAGTGGTCCGGATCACGTGGTCACAAGTGACGGTGCTGCCGTTTAGGCTAGGGGTTTGGGGACTGTCGGTTTTTCGGAAGAGCTTGCTTTGAGATGGCAGGCTGCCGCAAAGGATGCCAACATCCAGGACGGGCTGAGGTTTACAAGGAAAGCTCAAGGAAGAAAGATGAATCGAATTCAGAAGTTACAGGTTGGGATGTTCCCCCTACTAACAGATTAGAGTACCCCTATGATAATCCTCTTTAAGGACTGTTAGCATAAGGGGGAACATCCCAAGTTATAGGGTTCAAGGCTTGCAGCCCACAAAACACCAGGAGCGCGACCGCCTGACCTCCGACCGCAAGGAGGTGGATCGCTTGACCGGGGAGGCCGCCCAACGAGCTTCTGCCGTGGCTACCAAAGGGATTCAGGGGCCCAGGGGCCCTAAGCCCTAAGAGCTAAGAGCCCTAAGAGCCCTAAGCCCGAAGCCCTAAGCCCTAAACCCCCAACCCTAAACCTAAACCCTAAACACTAAACTCTATACCCTAAATTGGTTTCGAGCTCGAGTTGAGTGTGGGAGACACCGCATCCCCCAAGTCCAGCTCCGACAAGTCGCAGGTGCGGAAGCTCGAGCGCCAGCGCGGAGAGCTTGTCTTTGGGCCAAATTTTTTTCGGGGGCCATGGGAACAGTGTGGGTGCCGTGGGGGGGGGGGGTGGGTGGTGACTTCAGGATTGTTAAGACTGCTAAGAACTTCTTGACGCGCCTTTGTGGGGGACCTTGCCGACTTGCTCTCCCCACAGCCCACGAAGAATGGTCAGCCCCCTTGGAATTGTGCCCGCAAAGTTGCCGAACCCCGAAACCCCAAAAGGTCAACGCCTTCAAGAAGCAAATGAAGCTCATTGAGGCGCGAAAGAGTGGGGGAGAAGATTCAGAGGGATCGGTTCTTTCCGCAGATTATGCAATCAAATATCCCCTCTTCCCCTAGTACTAAATCTTCACCATACGCTAGACAGGAACACGAATATTGGGGGGCAGCGGATAATTCCCTGAGCGCCCGAGCCCAGGTGCTCAAGAGGCAGCGTGCACACATGGAGGCGGCGCGCGTCTTGTCCTTCACCGAGGACGCTTCGACACTGCCTTGCGACACGCATGGGGTTTCGTCACCTTTGCCGCAAAAAACACAGACTTTGCCGCTGCAGGACGAGTTCATCCGAATCCTGGAGTTGGGGGACAAGCTGGGGGAGTGAGTGCTACTCAGCTGCTGCTCGCCCCTCTCCGCCTCCTCCCTCCTGCAAGTAGTGAGAATTCCGGGGGGTTGGTTCAGGGTCTTGTGGAAACGCGCTGTTCGGTGCGGACAGGGCGTCAAGGAACACATGGGTAGCATCAGGAGCTTGTGTCAAATTTCACATGTAAGTACTTTCCAAGCGCAAGGCTAGGCATACCAGCTGCATCTCTGAATTCGGTCACGGAGACAAGATCTTCAAGTGTCGTGTGTCCCTGCGATTGCATGAGACTCAGACCTCGTGGCCTTGCAAAGGGAATGCTCGGGGGGTGGGGGGGGGGTTGGTTGGAGCAGAGTTGCAGGCGCCCGGTGGTGGCACGATGTCTCAGCTTCCGTGCCGGCTCACCATCGAAGCAGAGAGCTGTAGGAGCTGTAGGAGCTGTAGGAGCTGTAGGAGCTGTAGGAGCAGCTCACATGAGAAGAGCATGACAAGAGGGAAGCCTGGAGCAAGAGCAAGACACCAGCTTGACAGCTTCAGCGTGTGGAAGTTTCTGGAAGCAGCTGCACAAGCATCCCCCCCCCACACATAAGCCCACCTAAGCCATCCCCTGCTTCCCTCCCGGCAAGCTTTGGGCACGTTTGTGTCTCGCGACCTTTGACTCCGATCATGCTCGGAGGCCCCTGCTCCGAGAGTTGAGTTTTGGTGTGTACGCTGCGATGTTTTAGGGTATGGGGGCTTTTAGGGTTCACTTGCATGATGCTGTACCATCCCCTGCGCCCAGTTCTGGCAAGGTCAAGAGTTTGATCCCGCCGATTCCCCAAACACTCGAAGTGGTTCCCATGACATCAAGGTGATCCGTGGACCTGGCAGGTCTCAAAGAGCGGGTTCTTGACAGCTCAATGTTATAAAGTTATAAGCTTAATCCTGGAAGTCTTTCGGGAGCAGCTCCCTCAAGCTTTCCACGCGAAGTCCCTTCACACTCGAAACCCTACGCGTGCTCCGGCTAAACCTTATAACACTACGATAGTCGCCCGATATTCAGAGATAAAGATCTCTCGAATGGAGAGGCCTAGCTGTGCCTTGTGCCAGGCAACTACGATGACTCGGACTCCGAGGACCTCTGGCAAAGTGGTGTTAGGGTCAGGGTTTAGGGTTTAGGAGGGCGTGCGGGGTCTGGGCTTCAGGACTCGAGGCCCCCTGGGCAAGGGCTATGGCCAGATCTCCGCACAGGACCATGGGGGCAAGATTGTGAACTCAGACGAGGAGGACGAGGAGGGAGGTCCGAAGCTCGGCACACTTTTGCAGATCTCTTTTCATTCAGCTACTCCGGCGCGGCACGCCACCTAATCCTAAAGTCTCTGTTAGCGATTCCTAATTGCCAGCTCATCGAGTTCGCTGAGGTGAAACCCCTGACTTGGCCATCAACCAGCAGGTCTCAGTAGGGCTGTGCCAATTGGGTTGATTTGGGATGCATATCCAGGCATCGGTACCTTCTGTTCCAGTGCGGAGGAAGAGGGGGAGGAGGAGGACGAGGATGATGACGAGGAGTCGGACAAGCTGCCAGGGCCCTTGCCCTTTGGGGTGGTCGGGCCCGGCTGGTTGAAGCTCCAGCTACTTCTAGGCCGCAGGCGAGGAGCGTGTCGAAGCCCTCGAATGAAACCCTGTGAACCCTACTAGGAGTCCGAAGTTCAACTACAAAACCTAAGCGCTCCAGGAGGTATGAGCGCACCCATGGTGAGCCAAGGACTTCGGCCGCCAAGGCCTTCAAATCCCTCAAGAACCTCGGGGAGGCCCCAGGGCCTTTCCTCCGAGGGCCTGAGATGGGTCTTTCGGAACTTCACGAGTTTTTGTAAACATATCATGGGCCGGACAAGCCGCTCATGATTGACTTCTCTTGCCCCCTTGACAGGAAGCCTTGTCCTTCAAGAAGTTTGAGAAGGACCATTCGAAAGTGGATCGGGCCGGGCACCTGTGTTGCCATGGGGGCCGGTGTCTGTACAACCATGTGCCTCGAGCCACCGGGAGAGCAAAGCAGAGCACAGAACCGCGAACAGTCCAAACATGTGCTTGCGGCGAGGCAGCTGTCCGCGAGGTGTCAACCTGGCTCCAATCTTCAGCGATGCCGTCTGCTCATCATGGCTCGAGCATTGAGTGATCATCTCCCTCGTACTTACCGTGCATCCACCTTGGATAGCTTTGCATTGCCATGAAGGCTGTGTGCATCGTGGCTTTCTTGTCCCTTTCTTTAGGGGCTTCTGCTGGATCCCAGCCGGTGGCGACAGATGCGACCGGGACGTCTGGGATGCAAGCCGAGTCCGAACAGTCCGAACCGTCCGAACCGACCGAACAGTGCCAGTCTGGGAGCCTCATCCAGCGTTCCTCCCAGAAGGCGATGCTGCCCACGAAGGCGACGCTTGGCGAGGCCGAGGTTGCGGAGCCAGAGATTCCACCGAACAAGATGAACAAGAAGATGAACAAGAAGATGAGCAACAAGATGAACAAAAAGATGCAGAAGAGGGAAAAGATGCAGAAGGAGCACGGAGATCTCCTGGCCTTCCTCGCCCAGTCAAAGGAGTCAAAGGAGCTGGTGCCTCCAGGAGATTCTGAATGCACACCGACAGGAGCCCTGCGCCTGTCATCTCCGCCTGTTTGGTCTTGAATATTTTTTCTGCTTGTTTTTTGCACTTTGCATGTCGCCCGGAGTCGGCTCTCTTCCTTTGCGAAATTCTGCTCAGGAGCCTCTTTCTTCTCAGATTTTTTCTCAGGAGCTCCTCTGGCGGGCGAGAGCAAGGCGAAGTTCGAGCTGCTTTTGCAAAAGGTCGCTGCCCTCGACCTGGATGCTGTCATCGCCCGCCTTGTCAAGAAGAAGGACTACATGCCCAAGATTGCTAAGAGGGCCGCCGATGAGTACCGCAAGTTCCTGGTGTTGATGGGCATGGGGGAGACGCCGGTCGCGCCCAAGATGGTCGTTGATGCCTGGCAAGCCCACATCATGCCACCTGTCCTGACCATGTGGGCTTACTAACTGTTAGCTGCCGACACGTCCGCGGACCGGCGGACGTTCGTCGGTTGCAGTTTTCTAGCCTTGGTAGTCCGAAGCCCAGGTTCACACAGACGTACGAGCGGGACTGCCGTGAGGTGTTTGGCCACTTGCTTGAACACGACCCCCTTGCTCAGCACTTGGAAGCCAGTCGGCTGGAGCAGATGCAGCAGCAGATCTGCGACTACTTCGGCATGGTAGACCGACTTGTTTGGGAACAGCCGGCAAAGGCCGTCGGCCTCTCCCAGAGCATGGACCCTGCTGCCACCATGCAGCAGTGGCTTGACCACATCAACGAGAAGTCGATCTTCCGTGAGGACCTCATGACGGAGGATGTCCATTTGATGGTGCTTTCGCAACACAGCTCCAATGCCACGACCTTTGATGGCAGAATCGAAGCTCTGTCCTTCTTCCACCAGCATGGGCATGCCGACAGCGCACGCGAGTTCCTTTCCGTGACCCCCGGTGCCTTTGCCATCGAGACGACAAAGAACCTGCGCATGGGGGCTGACGTTTTCGAGGTGAACTCGCAAGGCCAGATCTTCGACATCAAGATCTGGATGACCTCCTTGAGAAAGGACAAAGAGGACTTGAACGACGCGGGGCTAACAACTCTGGGCAACGGATCGCAGGCCGGCATCTCAGTAGCAGCTGAATCGCGGAGGCTCATAAGCTGATTCTAGAATAGGCTTGCATAGACCTCTTGAGCGTGCGGCTTCGTGCATCTCTCTGACAATCTGTCGTGCCATGTCGTGCCATGTCGTGCCATGTCGCGCCATGTCGTGCGCCAGACTTGAGGCGCTGGTCGATGCCGGGGAGACAGACGTCACCTTGACCAAGGCTGCCATGGAGTCCTGGATGCAAAGCCTCAACGCGGAGCCGAAGGAAGAGCTTCTGGCGGACGATGTGCGCATGCTTCGGATGTCGCAAATGGACATTGAACCCGAAATTCATACTGGGAAGGCTGACGTGATGAACTTCTTCCGGGACTTCGAGCATGCCAGCGGGGCCCGAGAGTTCCTTTCTGTGGACGGAGGTGCCTTCATGCTCGAGCTTAAGAACGACATGCACCCTCGCATGGGAGTCCTGGTTTTTGAGGTGAACCCCGATGGCAAGATCCAGGACATCAAGGTCTGGATAGGTTCCCTGGAAAACGACAAGGCCGACTTGGGCGACAGCGGCCTGAGTCAGACCTTGCTCCTGTCGCAAGAAGCTGCCCTCGCGGCGAGTGCCTTGCCAACATGAGAACACCACGTTACTTGTGCTTCTTTTTGCGGATCAGTCCCTGCCCATACCATGTGATTGCGCCACAGATAACGCAACGTCTCCAGGCCCCGAGCCCACGGAGTGTTTGCGTTCCAGCAGACAGCCGTCCCTGCAGCAAACGCACAGCTTCAAGACAGCTGCCGAGAAGGTGAAAGCGCTTGACCTCAACGCTGTGGTAGCCGTTCTCGGGAAGGATGGCTACTCGCCCAGCAAGGCAGCAAGCCTTGCGGAAGAGTACCGAAAGTACTTGACCCTGGTGGGTGCCGGCCTGAACCCTGTGCCTTCGCAGCAGGTGGATGATGCGTGGCATGCCCACATCCTGAATACCAAGAAGTACCAGGCTGACACACGGGCGCTGTTCGGCCACGTCCTCCATCACGAGCCGGCCAACCTTCTCCTGGACCAGCAGGGCATGACAGCACAGAAATCCTCCATGGACGACATGTTCTTACAGACCAAGATGCAGCTCTGCGACTTCTATGGTCGCGTCAACGAAGCCGTGTGGTCCAAGGAAGACGTCGCCCTGTGCCTTTGCGCCTGCGGCTGCGGCTGCGCTTGCGGCTGCAGCTGTGGCTGTTCCTGCGCTCCGAGCCCCCCACCGAGCCCGAGCCCGCCCCCGAGCAGTGGCTGCTGATGCTGCTGAGCCCGTGCCTCTGAGAGTCCTGTTTCCCCTGTGGCCCAAAGTTTCTGCAGTATATGCCGTTTCAAGAGCCTTTGAGTTTCTTTCAAGTTTCATAAGTTTCCAGATCTGCCTGGAGCCAGCGGGACCGGGAGAGCAAAACAGAGCGCAGAACCGCGAGATGTGGGAGAGGCATGGAGAGACGTGAGACGACTGGAAACCCATGGAAACGTCCCAAACCCCACCCGAACAGTCCAAACATGTGCTTGCGGCGAGGCAGCTGTCCGCGAGGTGTCAACCTGGCTCCAATCTTCAGCGATGCCGTCTGCTCATCACGGCTCGAGCATTGAGTGATCATCTCCCTCGTACTTACCGTGCATCCACCTTGGATAGCTTTGCATTGCCATGAAGGCTGTGTGCCTCGTGGCTTTCTTGTCCCTTTCTTTAGGGGCTTCTGCTGGATCCCAGCCGGTGGCGACAGATGCGACCGGGACGTCTGGGATGCAAGCCGAGTCCGAACAGTCCGAACAGTGCCAGTCTGGGAGCCTCATCCAGCGTTCCTCCCAGAAGGCGATGCTGCCCACGAAGGCGACGCTTGGCGAGGCCGAGGTTGCGGAGCCAGAGATTCCACCGAACAAGATGAACAAGAAGATGAACAAGAAGATGAGCAACAAGATGAACAAAAAGATGCAGAAGAGGGAAAAGATGCAGAAGGAGCACGGAGATCTCCTGGCCTTCCTCGCCCAGTCAAAGGAGTCAAAGGAGCTGGTGCCTCCAGGAGATTCTGAATGCACACCGACAGGAGCCCTGCGCCTGTCATCTCCGCCTGTTTTGTCTTGAATATTTTTTCTGCTTGTTTTTTGCACTTTGCATGTCGCCCGGAGTCGGCTCTCTTCCTTTGCGAAATTCTGCTCAGGAGTTCTTTCTTCTCAGATTTTTTCTCAGGAGCTCCTCTGGCGGGCGAGAGCAAGGCGAAGTTCGAGCTGCTTTTGCAAAAGGTCGCTGCCCTCGACCTGGATGCTGTCATCGCCCGCCTTGTCAAGAAGAAGGACTACATGCCCAAGATTGCTAAGAGGGCCGCCGATGAGTACCGCAAGTTCCTGGTGTTGATGGGCATGGGGGAGACGCCGGTCGCGCCCAAGATGGTCGTTGATGCCTGGCAAGCCCACATCATGCCACCTGTCCTGACCATGTGGGCTTACTAACTGTTAGCTGCCGACACGTCCGCGGACCGGCGGACGTTCGTCGGTTGCAGTTTTCTAGCCTTGGTAGTCCGAAGCCCAGGTTCACACAGACGTACGAGCGGGACTGCCGTGAGGTGTTTGGCCACTTGCTTGAACACGACCCCCTTGCTCAGCACTTGGAAGCCAGTCGGCTGGAGCAGATGCAGCAGCAGATCTGCGACTACTTCGGCATGGTAGACCGACTTGTTTGGGAACAGCCGGCAAAGGCCGTCGGCCTCTCCCAGAGCATGGACCCTGCTGCCACCATGCAGCAGTGGCTTGACCACATCAACGAGAAGTCGATCTTCCGTGAGGACCTCATGACGGAGGATGTCCATTTGATGGTGCTTTCGCAACACAGCTCCAATGCCACGACCTTTGATGGCAGAATCGAAGCTCTGTCCTTCTTCCACCAGCATGGGCATGCCGACAGCGCACGCGAGTTCCTTTCCGTGACCCCCGGTGCCTTTGCCATCGAGACGACAAAGAACCTGCGCATGGGGGCTGACGTTTTCGAGGTGAACTCGCAAGGCCAGATCTTCGACATCAAGATCTGGATGACCTCCTTGAGAAAGGACAAAGAGGACTTGAACGACGCGGGGCTAACAACTCTGGGCAACGGATCGCAGGCCGGCATCTCAGTAGCAGCTGAATCGCGGAGGCTCATAAGCTGATTCTAGAATAGGCTTGCATAGACCTCTTGAGCGTGCGGCTTCGTGCATCTCTCTGACAATCTGTCGTGCCATGTCGTGCCATGTCGTGCCATGTCGCGCCATGTCGCGCCATGTCGTGCGCCAGACTTGAGGCGCTGGTCGATGCCGGGGAGACAGACGTCACCTTGACCAAGGCTGCCATGGAGTCCTGGATGCAAAGCCTCAACGCGGAGCCGAAGGAAGAGCTTCTGGCGGACGATGTGCGCATGCTTCGGATGTCGCAAATGGACATTGAACCCGAAATTCATACTGGGAAGGCTGACGTGATGAACTTCTTCCGGGACTTCGAGCATGCCAGCGGGGCCCGAGAGTTCCTTTCTGTGGACGGAGGTGCCTTCATGCTCGAGCTTAAGAACGACATGCACCCTCGCATGGGAGTCCTGGTTTTTGAGGTGAACCCCGATGGCAAGATCCAGGACATCAAGGTCTGGATAGGTTCCCTGGAAAACGACAAGGCCGACTTGGGCGACAGCGGCCTGAGTCAGACCTTGCTCCTGTCGCAAGAAGCTGCCCTCGCGGCGAGTGCCTTGCCAACATGAGAACACCACGTTACTTGTGCTTCTTTTTGCGGATCAGTCCCTGCCCATACCATGTGATTGCGCCACAGATAACGCAACGTCTCCAGGCCCCGAGCCCACGGAGTGTTTGCGTTCCAGCAGACAGCCGTCCCTGCAGCAAACGCACAGCTTCAAGACAGCTGCCGAGAAGGTGAAAGCGCTTGACCTCAACGCTGTGGTAGCCGTTCTCGGGAAGGATGGCTACTCGCCCAGCAAGGCAGCAAGCCTTGCGGAAGAGTACCGAAAGTACTTGACCCTGGTGGGTGCCGGCCTGAACCCTGTGCCTTCGCAGCAGGTGGATGATGCGTGGCATGCCCACATCCTGAATACCAAGAAGTACCAGGCTGACACACGGGCGCTGTTCGGCCACGTCCTCCATCACGAGCCGGCCAACCTTCTCCTGGACCAGCAGGGCATGACAGCACAGAAATCCTCCATGGACGACATGTTCTTACAGACCAAGATGCAGCTCTGCGACTTCTATGGTCGCGTCAACGAAGCCGTGTGGTCCAAGGAAGACGTCGCCCTGTGCCTTTGCGCCTGCGGCTGCGGCTGCGGTTGCGGCTGCAGCTGTGGCTGTTCCTGCGCTCCGAGCCCCCCACCGAGCCCGAGCCCGCCCCCGAGCAGTGGCTGCTGATGCTGCTGAGCCCGTGCCTCTGAGAGTCCTGTTTCCCCTGTGGCCCAAAGTTTCTGCAGTATATGCGGTTTCAAGAGCCTTCGAGTTTCTTTCAAGTTTCACAAGTTTCCAGATCTGCCTGGAGCCACCGGGACCGGGAGAGCAAAACAGAGCGCAGAACCGCGAGATGTGGGAGAGGCATGGAGAGACGTGAGACGACTGGAAACCCATGGAAACGTCCCAACCCCACCCGAACAGTCCAAACATGTGCTTGCGGCGAGGCAGCTGTCCGCGAGGTGTCAACCTGGCTCCAATCTTCAGCGATGCCGTCTGCTCATCACGGCTCGAGCATTGAGTGATCATCTCCCTCGTACTTACCGTGCATCCACCTTGGATAGCTTTGCATTGCCATGAAGGCTGTGTGCATCGTGGCTTTCTTGTCCCTTTCTTTAGGGGCTTCTGCTGGATCCCAGCCGGTGGCGACAGATGCGACCGGGACGTCTGGGATGCAAGCCGAGTCCGAACAGTCCGAACCGTCCGAACCGACCGAACAGTGCCAGTCTGGGAGCCTCATCCAGCGTTCCTCCCAGAAGGCGATGCTGCCCACGAAGGCGACGCTTGGCGAGGCCGAGGTTGCGGAGCCAGAGATTCCACCGAACAAGATGAACAAGAAGATGAACAAGAAGATGAGCAACAAGATGAACAAAAAGATGCAGAAGAGGGAAAAGATGCAGAAGGAGCACGGAGATCTCCTGGCCTTCCTCGCCCAGTCAAAGGAGTCAAAGGAGCTGGTGCCTCCAGGAGATTCTGAATGCACACCGACAGGAGCCCTGCGCCTGTCATCTCCGCCTGTTTTGTCTTGAATAGTTTTTTCTGCTTGTTTTTTGCACTTTGCATGTCGCCCGGAGTCGGCTCTCTTCCTTTGCGAAATTCTGCTCAGGAGTCTCTTTCTTCTCAGATTTTTTCTCAGGAGCTCCTCTGGCGGGCGAGAGCAAGGCGAAGTTCGAGCTGCTTTTGCAAAAGGTCGCTGCCCTCGACCTGGATGCTGTCATCGCCCGCCTTGTCAAGAAGAAGGACTACATGCCCAAGATTGCAAAGAGGGCCGCCGACGAGTACCGCAAGTTCCTGGTGTTGATGGGCATGGGGGAGACGCCGGTCGCGCCCAAGATGGTCGTTGATGCCTGGCAAGCCCACATCATGCCACCTGTCCTGACCATGTGGGCTTACTAACTGTTAGCTGCCGACACGTCCGCGGACCGGCGGACGTTCGTCGGTTGCAGTTTTCTAGCCTTGGTAGTCCGAAGCCCAGGTTCACACAGACGTACGAGCGGGACTGCCGTGAGGTGTTTGGCCACTTGCTTGAACACGACCCCCTTGCTCAGCACTTGGAAGCCAGTCGGCTGGAGCAGATGCAGCAGCAGATCTGCGACTACTTCGGCATGGTAGACCGACTTGTTTGGGAACAGCCGGCAAAGGCCGTCGGCCTCTCCCAGAGCATGGACCCTGCTGCCACCATGCAGCAGTGGCTTGACCACATCAACGAGAAGTCGATCTTCCGTGAGGACCTCATGACGGAGGATGTCCATTTGATGGTGCTTTCGCAACACAGCTCCAATGCCACGACCTTTGATGGCAGAATCGAAGCTCTGTCCTTCTTCCACCAGCATGGGCATGCCGACAGCGCACGCGAGTTCCTTTCCGTGACCCCCGGTGCCTTTGCCATCGAGACGATCAAGAACCTGCGCATGGGGGCTGACGTTTTCGAGGTGAACTCGCAAGGCCAGATCTTCGACATCAAGATCTGGATGACCTCCTTGAGAAAGGACAAAGAGGACTTGAACGACGCGGGGCTAACAACTCTGGGCAACGGATCGCAGGCCGGCATCTCAGTAGCAGCTGAATCGCGGAGGCTCATAAGCTGATTCTAGAATAGGCTTGCATAGACCTCTTGAGCGTGCGGCTTCGTGCATCTCTCTGACAATCTGTCGTGCCATGTCGTGCCATGTCGTGCCATGTCGCGCCATGTCGCGCCATGTCGTGCGCCAGACTTGAGGCGCTGGTCGATGCCGGGGAGACAGACGTCACCTTGACCAAGGCTGCCATGGAGTCCTGGATGCAAAGCCTCAACGCGGAGCCGAAGGAAGAGCTTCTGGCGGACGATGTGCGCATGCTTCGGATGTCGCAAATGGACATTGAACCCGAAATTCATACTGGGAAGGCTGACGTGATGAACTTCTTCCGGGACTTCGAGCATGCCAGCGGGGCCCGAGAGTTCCTTTCTGTGGACGGAGGTGCCTTCATGCTCGAGCTTAAGAACGACATGCACCCTCGCATGGGAGTCCTGGTTTTTGAGGTGAACCCCGATGGCAAGATCCAGGACATCAAGGTCTGGATAGGTTCCCTGGAAAACGACAAGGCCGACTTGGGCGACAGCGGCCTGAGTCAGACCTTGCTCCTGTCGCAAGAAGCTGCCCTCGCGGCGAGTGCCTTGCCAATATGAGAACACCATGTTACTTGTGCTTTTTTTTGCGGATCATTCCCTGCCCATACCATGTGATTGCGCCACAGATAACGCAACGTCTCCAGGCCCCGAGCCCACGGAGTGTTTGCGTTCCAGCAGACAGCCGTCCCTGCAGCAAACGCACAGCTTCAAGACAGCTGCCGAGAAGGTGAAAGCGCTTGACCTCAACGCTGTGGTAGCCGTTCTCGGGAAGGATGGCTACTCGCCCAGCAAGGCAGCAAGCCTTGCGGAAGAGTACCGAAAGTACTTGACCCTGGTGGGTGCCGGCCTGAACCCTGTGCCTTCGCAGCAGGTGGATGATGCGTGGCATGCCCACATCCTGAATACCAAGAAGTACCAGGCTGACACACGAGCGCTGTTCGGCCACGTCCTCCATCACGAGCCGGCCAACCTTCTCCTGGACCAGCAGGGCATGACAGCACAGAAATCCTCCATGGACGACATGTTCTTACAGACCAAGATGCAGCTCTGCGACTTCTATGGTCGCGTCAACGAAGCCGTGTGGTCCAAGGAAGACGTCGCCCTGTGCCTTTGCGCCTGCGGCTGCGGCTGCGCTTGCGGCTGCAGCTGTGGCTGTTCCTGCGCTCCGAGCCCCCCACCGAGCCCGAGCCCGCCCCCGAGCAGTGGCTGCTGATGCTGCTGAGCCCGTGCCTCTGAGAGTCCTGTTTCCCCTGTGGCCCAAAGTTTCTGCAGTATATGCCGTTTCAAGAGCCTTTGAGTTTCTTTCAAGTTTCATAAGTTTCCAGATCTGCCTGGAGCCAGCGGGACCGGGAGAGCAAAACAGAGCGCAGAACCGCGAGATGTGGGAGAGGCATGGAGAGACGTGAGACGACTGGAAACCCATGGAAACGTCCCAAACCCCACCCGAACAGTCCAAACATGTGCTTGCGGCGAGGCAGCTGTCCGCGAGGTGTCAACCTGGCTCCAATCTTCAGCGATGCCGTCTGCTCATCACGGCTCGAGCATTGAGTGATCATCTCCCTCGTACTTACCGTGCGTCCACCTTGGATAGCTTTGCATTGCCATGAAGGCTGTGTGCATCGTGGCTTTCTTGTCCCTTTCTTTAGGGGCTTCTGCTGGATCCCAGCCGGTGGCGACAGATGCGACCGGGACGTCTGGGATGCAAGCCGAGTCCGAACAGTCCGAACCGTCCGAACCGACCGAACAGTGCCAGTCTGGGAGCCTCATCCAGCGTTCCTCCCAGAAGGCGATGCTGCCCACGAAGGCGACGCTTGGCGAGGCCGAGGTTGCGGAGCCAGAGATTCCACCGAACAAGATGAACAAGAAGATGAACAAGAAGATGAGCAACAAGATGAACAAAAAGATGCAGAAGAGGGAAAAGATGCAGAAGGAGCACGGAGATCTCCTGGCCTTCCTCGCCCAGTCAAAGGAGTCAAAGGAGCTGGTGCCTCCAGGAGATTCTGAATGCACACCGACAGGAGCCCTGCGCCTGTCATCTCCGCCTGTTTTGTCTTGAATATTTTTTCTGCTTGTTTTTTGCACTTTGCATGTCGCCCGGAGTCGGCTCTCTTCCTTTGCGAAATTCTGCTCAGGAGTTCTTTCTTCTCAGATTTTTTCTCAGGAGCTCCTCTGGCGGGCGAGAGCAAGGCGAAGTTCGAGCTGCTTTTGCAAAAGGTCGCTGCCCTCGACCTGGATGCTGTCATCGCCCGCCTTGTCAAGAAGAAGGACTACATGCCCAAGATTGCTAAGAGGGCCGCCGACGAGTACCGCAAGTTCCTGGTGTTGATGGGCATGGGGGAGACGCCGGTCGCGCCCAAGATGGTCGTTGATGCCTGGCAAGCCCACATCATGCCACCTGTCCTGACCATGTGGGCTTACTAACTGTTAGCTGCCGACACGTCCGCGGACCGGCGGACGTTCGTCGGTTGCAGTTTTCTAGCCTTGGTAGTCCGAAGCCCAGGTTCACACAGACGTACGAGCGGGACTGCCGTGAGGTGTTTGGCCACTTGCTTGAACACGACCCCCTTGCTCAGCACTTGGAAGCCAGTCGGCTGGAGCAGATGCAGCAGCAGATCTGCGACTACTTCGGCATGGTAGACCGACTTGTTTGGGAACAGCCGGCAAAGGCCGTCGGCCTCTCCCAGAGCATGGACCCTGCTGCCACCATGCAGCAGTGGCTTGACCACATCAACGAGAAGTCGATCTTCCGTGAGGACCTCATGACGGAGGATGTCCATTTGATGGTGCTTTCGCAACACAGCTCCAATGCCACGACCTTTGATGGCAGAATCGAAGCTCTGTCCTTCTTCCACCAGCATGGGCATGCCGACAGCGCACGCGAGTTCCTTTCCGTGACCCCCGGTGCCTTTGCCATCGAGACGATCAAGAACCTGCGCATGGGGGCTGACGTTTTCGAGGTGAACTCGCAAGGCCAGATCTTCGACATCAAGATCTGGATGACCTCCTTGAGAAAGGACAAAGAGGACTTGAACGACGCGGGGCTAACAACTCTGGGCAACGGATCGCAGGCCGGCATCTCAGTAGCAGCTGAATCGCGGAGGCTCATAAGCTGATTCTAGAATAGGCTTGCATAGACCTCTTGAGCGTGCGGCTTCGTGCATCTCTCTGACAATCTGTCGTGCCATGTCGTGCCATGTCGTGCCATGTCGCGCCATGTCGTGCGCCAGACTTGAGGCGCTGGTCGATGCCGGGGAGACAGACGTCACCTTGACCAAGGCTGCCATGGAGTCCTGGATGCAAAGCCTCAACGCGGAGCCGAAGGAAGAGCTTCTGGCGGACGATGTGCGCATGCTTCGGATGTCGCAAATGGACATTGAACCCGAAATTCATACTGGGAAGGCTGACGTGATGAACTTCTTCCGGGACTTCGAGCATGCCAGCGGGGCCCGAGAGTTCCTTTCTGTGGACGGAGGTGCCTTCATGCTCGAGCTTAAGAACGACATGCACCCTCGCATGGGAGTCCTGGTTTTTGAGGTGAACCCCGATGGCAAGATCCAGGACATCAAGGTCTGGATAGGTTCCCTGGAAAACGACAAGGCCGACTTGGGCGACAGCGGCCTGAGTCAGACCTTGCTCCTGTCGCAAGAAGCTGCCCTCGCGGCGAGTGCCTTGCCAATATGAGAACACCATGTTACTTGTGCTTTTTTTTGCGGATCATTCCCTGCCCATACCATGTGATTGCGCCACAGATAACGCAACGTCTCCAGGCCCCGAGCCCACGGAGTGTTTGCGTTCCAGCAGACAGCCGTCCCTGCAGCAAACGCACAGCTTCAAGACAGCTGCCGAGAAGGTGAAAGCGCTTGACCTCAACGCTGTGGTAGCCGTTCTCGGGAAGGATGGCTACTCGCCCAGCAAGGCAGCAAGCCTTGCGGAAGAGTACCGAAAGTACTTGACCCTGGTGGGTGCCGGCCTGAACCCTGTGCCTTCGCAGCAGGTGGATGATGCGTGGCATGCCCACATCCTGAATACCAAGAAGTACCAGGCTGACACACGGGCGCTGTTCGGCCACGTCCTCCATCACGAGCCGGCCAACCTTCTCCTGGACCAGCAGGGCATGACAGCACAGAAATCCTCCATGGACGACATGTTCTTACAGACCAAGATGCAGCTCTGCGACTTCTATGGTCGCGTCAACGAAGCCGTGTGGTCCAAGGAAGACGTCGCCCTGTGCCTTTGCGCCTGCGGCTGCGGCTGCGGTTGCGGCTGCAGCTGTGGCTGTTCCTGCGCTCCGAGCCCCCCACCGAGCCCGAGCCCGCCCCCGAGCAGTGGCTGCTGATGCTGCTGAGCCCGTGCCTCTGAGAGTCCTGCTTCGCCCAATGATGGCCAGCACCTGCTACACTGTCTCACGGCATGCCATCGACACGTTCCGCCTAAACCCAAACCCTAAACCCTAAACCCAAGACCCAAAACCCAAGATCCAAAACCCAAGACCCAACACCCCAAGCCCACTTGGCTGAGATCCGGGCGTGCGGAGTTCCACGTGCGATTGATGGAGTGGATCCTCCACATGGGTGTTCAGGAACCCTGTGGCCCAAAGTTTCTGCAGTACAACGAGTTTCAAGAGCCTTCGAGTTTCTTTCAAGTTTCATAAGTTGCCAGATCTGCCTGGAGCCACCGGGAGAGCAAAACAGAGCGCAAAACCGCGAGACGTGGGAGAGGCATGAGCTTCAGCTGGTAATGGCGTGTGCCCCGGAAAGCAAGAATCCGAGGCTCAAGCATCTCTCTCCAGACAACTGTACCGTGAAACATCTCCAAACCCTGAAATCATAACAAAGCAGAGCGTTTTGCAGAGAAGCTTGCTATGGTGCCACCACACCTCCCCACCGCAAGCATATATTCAACCCAAAGCCCTAGCTTTTGAGCCCCATGAAGCTACATCTAAACTCTGTTGAAGTGCGAATGAGGTCCGAAGTCACCAGATGAGCCTTGTGCGGAACTGAGTATCGCTCGCTGGGCCGCTCGCTGGGCCGGGGTGGGGTACCAGCGCTCCAACCCTTAAACTCGGTAGATCCTTGGACTTTCCGTTCTTGGGTTTCAGAGGCCCTAGTTCTGCTAGGGGTTTCAAGGGCCAACCCAGTGAAGCTCCGTCGACCCTAAACCCTGAACCCTGAACCCTAAACCCTAAACCCTAAACCCTAAACCCTAAACCCTAAACCCTAAACCCTAAACCCTAAACCCTAAACCCTAAACCCTAAACCCCAAACCCTAAACCCTAAACCCTAAACCCGAAACCCTAAACCCCAAACCCTAAAGAAGTTGAGGATCGGGTCACATCGTCGTCCGCCGCGACGTTGCGCGGGCAGGCTCCGCGGGCTCCGAGAAAGCTCGTGCCCGCAACATTTCTTTGGAGGTCTAGGGTCTAGGGTCTAGGGTCAAGGGTCTAGGGTCGAGGGTCGAGGGTCGAGGGTCTAGGGTGGAGGGTCGAGGGTCTAGGGTCTAGGGTCGAGGGTCTAGGTCTGGGGTCTAGGGTCTAGGGTCTAGGAGGGTCTAGGGGTCGAGGGGTCTCGGGTCTAGGGTCGAGGTCGAGGGTCTAGGGTCGAGGGTCGAGGGTCTAGGGTCCAGGGTCGAGGCTCTAGGGTCTGGCTCGAGGGTTGAAGGTCTAGGGTCGAGGGTTGAGGGTCTAGGGTCCAGGGTCGAGGGTCGAGGGTCGAGGGTCTAGGGTCGAGGGTCTAGGGTCGAGGGTCTCGGGTCTGGGTCTGGGGTCTACGGTCTCGGGTCTCGGGGTCTGGGGGTCTGGGTCTAGGTCTAGGGTCGAGGGTCGAGGGTCTAGGTCTTGGAGGTTATGAGGATTATGAGGCCCAGGTGATGAGGAGGTTACAATGCTGAAGTGACTAGGGGTTGGGGAGAGCCTTTCACGAATAGTGTGAGGTACATCATCTAGAGGATTGTACATCTCGATGATCCCTAGGAGGTCTCAAGGCCAGCCCAACACCCAATCAATCCCCAATCAACATCCCCGGCAACGGAAGTGCAACCCACAATGATTATCGCACTTCGCTCTCGTCCTCATGTTGCTTGAGCCAAACCCATATGGTTTGGTACACTTCTCGATTTGTGCTGGTCATGCCTGCACACAACTTGGTACACTTCTTGATTTGTGCACCGAATGACACTCCTCCTCAGTCACTGGTTGGAGTGTGTGCTTCAAGCAGCTGACTGCCAAAATCGCACAAATCTTAACGCAAAAGTTTCCTGGATACCGCTCATAATGTGAAGCATACGATGATATGGCCAGCCTATGGCTCTTTGCCGAATGCCCCCGTGATTCGGTCTTTTGGAGTCCCTATGACTCTTTCTTTTTTCGAGGTGCTTAATGTTTCTTTGGCCCATTGGCATCACACGCGGTCCAGGTCCTAAACTATCTAATTCCTAATCTCGCTGGACTATTCCTTCGGCGAGACTGAGCATGCTAACCCCTGCAAGTATACATCTTCCACCACTGTCCGGGACAGAAAAGTTGTCTTGCAGCGAAACGGATACTCTCATGTCACACCCCATTCGACACTTCCACAAGATTCAAGAGATGTCGCATCTGCTCCAACCTGGTCCGTGGCAACGATTTAGTCAATGCATCGGCAACCAGTGTAGCGCCCTCTTCGTGTCGAATCATGATGCCATGTTGATGAGCTTGGTCTCTGACCCAAGCTGCTCTCAACCCAAAATGACGTGTGCGCCAAACAAGAGTTGACATAGTAGGCTTACAAAGCAAAACAACCGCACTGGCACTGTCGGATACGGCTTCAATCTTGTAGTGTACGTTTGTGAGGTTCTTAATGATGCTCTGAAGACGCGCAGAATCCTGGATTCCAGTGGCAATAGCCTCCGTTTCGGACTCGCACGTGCTCCAAGCGGTTAATGTTTGTCTGATGGATCTCCATGATACTAAGTCCTGCCCAATTTTGATGGCGATGCCTGATCTGCTGCGGGATGCTTGGGGTGCAAAGCTTGCGTCGGAATACACCGTCAAGATTCGCTCAGAACTGCCAACAAATCGAAGGGAAAGCCAAAGTGTCTTTCTCATGTATCGCCACATGTGTCGCAACTTTCGCAAGGCATACGCAGGGTGAGTTGTCACTATGCAAGCAAGCATTGAGGTCATTGCCTGAACATCTGGTCTTGTCCTCATGGCTGCCCACATTATTGAACCAACTTCTCGCTGGCAAGCTTTCACATTCGCTTCGTGGTCCTTGTCCTTTGGCTCAGGATTAAGCGGGAGATCGTCGAGGTTGGGCAATGATGCTGTTCCGGCCATCTGGGTCAACACTCGCCTCTGAAGTTCCTGCGCCAGCCACCTGTGCTGATCCAGAAACAATCCCTCTGCAGACAATGTAATTCGAAGTCCAAGAAAGATGAACTCAGAGACCCTGGGGACCGTTAGCGATCCGCGCTTCAAGTTGCTCTCTCCGCTCCAGCTCATATAGCCCTTTGCTGTGGCCTTCCAAGTACTTCGAACATGGTTGACCACTCTCAACATGGCCTCCGAGTGCCCTACTCCAAGCCCATCGTCGACAAACATGGTGACATAGCCCCGAATGATGGAACCTTCCATGACGGTCCACAGCCCAGGAATATCTTGATGGGGGTTCAACACCAGGTCTCCTAGTGTGTCTCCCTCTTCCTTCTGCAGAATGGCTCCGTTCATCTTGGCGGCGCGCTCTTCCTCCCAGTCCCTTGGAGCCCGCCGGAGTCCGTATAGAGACTTACGCAGGATAAGGACCGTGTCAGCTTCGAAATATCCCAGCTTCACCAAGATACCAGGGGGCCTTAGCAAAACCCATGCGTCACGAGGTAGGATCGAGTTCAAAAATGCAGCAGATATATCGAAAGCTATCCCACACCAGTCCCTGTTTGAGGCCCATGTGTGTGACAGGAAACGAAGTGTATCAGCGTCCACATTCTGACTCGAAAGATCATCGCCAGGCTGTTGTTCGAAATTCCCACAAGCAACAAGGCGACACTTTGCCTTAAAGGCTGCTAGCTCCGCCAGCTCTGCTGCCTCCTGCGCGCTCATTCCTGACAGATTCTTGGCTGCCTTTGGGACCTGGTCACTCAAGAGTTTTTCCTGAGACAAGTCTCCTCCTTCAAGCAGCGGTTTCTTTGTCAAGACCAGCTTCATAGGGATAGGCGTTGGGAGCTCATCCTCGCTGCCCAGTCCGAGCCTTTCCCGAACTTCAGAACTTGTACATGCCTCCCACACTTCTTTCGTAGCCATGTTGTCAAGCTCATCTGCAACTGAAGCTCGCCACTTTTGCTGACGAAGAATACTTCCAGTGGTCAAAACGTCGTTTCCAACGGTTTCAGTCACCAGTTGTTGGTCTGCCAAGATTGCAGCCATGCGCTCCGCATCTTCGATCTCTTGCTCTGCCGACATAGACAAGTGAAGATATTTGCCATCTTGCTTGTCTGCCTTTCCAATTGGCTCTGCATGGGTTGCGACGGCTGCCTTACTGAAGGTGTTCATCTGGCATCCCCTTCCGGCAAAAGGTGACAAAGCTGCCTCTGCTGAAGAATCTCTCACTTGTCGCTTGATGGCCTCAAACCTTCCTGCAACTTCATGTTCTGCAGGATCGGGACCATCTTGGCGCTCCTCCAGAGTGACAACCTCATCGACATCTGGCTCAGCCCACCTCACTGTTCCATCTTCTGCAACCCATACTGCCAAAGCTTCGTCTGGACTCAAGAGCTTTCTCCATCGCTTTGGCGCCACCTCAAACGGTGTTGGAAGTCTCGTTGTGACGATTTGTAGTCCTTGATTTCCATCCACCAAGACTTGCGCAGCATCCTGAATGGCCTCGTTCACGCACAGATACACTCCCTCTCGCACACGTGGGGAAAACGGATCAGGTGCTTGGATACGAACTCCAACAGGATCTCCGAAGGTGGGTGTTCCAACTGGTCTGTCAATGTTGAGTGCCTGCAAACGAAGTTCATACGCAGCTTGCTTTACTGCGTACGACCAAAAAGACTTCGGCATGTCAGCATGAAGAAGAAGGCTTGTTGCTGCCTCCTTTACAGCTTGTACCTGTCTCTCCGCCTTCCCATTGGCCTCAGGTTCATAGGCAGCGGACAGGGTTTTCCAAAGTCCTTCGCGGGCGACCTCATCAACCACGTTAGCAGCTGTAAATTCACCTCCCCCGTCACTGTGCACACGAATCACCACTTCAGGATTGTCAGCTTCAGCGCGAATCTGTGCCAAAATTGACTTAATCCCTGCAAGCGTTTCGACTGCCTTCTTGGATTTCTGCACGCACACGTAGGGAACTGATGTAGCTTCTT